GTATTCATTATAGCTTTATAATATTGAAACATGTCAGAGCACTTACAATACAATTTACATTTATATAGCGCCTTTCGTGTCAGCTTCTCATCTCAATACTGTTGACCTATGTTGGATGGGCACCCGAGCTGGGGGGTGGCAGCAAAGGGAAGCAGGAGGAGAAAGATGACTGAAAGCATGGTCACTTCATAGGTAATTGCTGTAACGTGTGGTGATCTTGAATTCAAAGGCATTTTGTGCAAGGTCCATTGAACAGCTGTGAAGTGAATTACTTATCTGGAGGATTCACACAATACTGGGAAATTATCCCACATCTTTTTGAATAGTATCATGGGTTCTTTTAGACTGGGCCTGAGTTTGATGTACCACAGCTTTTGAAAAGAAGATACATCAAATTGAAAATCCAGCCTTTATTATCAGAAGTCTGTGAACGTTGACAAGGGAAACAAAATCTGACAGTAAATTAATTCCCCAACTTCTGACTGAAAGATGTGTACTAGTAGGAGTTAGTCAGGAGTAGAGATGAGGCTTGAAGAGTGACGGAGGGAACTGTCTCAGGGAAAGGTAATCTATTCATAAATCTGTGTTGTGTGGTTTGAGTGGAAAGTTAATTCATTTTCTTCAGAATGGATGGTTGCCTTAAATCCACCAGGACAAGCCTGCTACTGGTCTCAGATTGTTCCAGCTACTTCCCCTGCGTCCTGTGCCACCGAGGGGAAGTCCCATTGACACAGTTTAGCAATCATTGGGCTTGGGGGAGGCTGGGCGGAACAGAGTGGTGGGAATACAGCTTTCATAATTTTCTCATTGGAATATGCATTGCAATGACAGATCAGTTAGTTGGCATGGAAAGGGAATCCGTTGACAATTTCAAAATATTCGTCATTCAGTTTAACTGACAGAAAGTAGTTGTTTGTGTTTACATGGTGTTGAAGTCTCATGGGAACTAGCTGCTAATCTAAATTATCGGATTGTGACAGACACTAGCTGTTAGCTTTCTTGGTTTCATGTGCACACACCAGATATCAAGAAATTCCAAACCAGTCATTATTTCTACAATTGTCGATGCAAAATGATTCAACAAAACTACATGCAACTATACTGAATGAAGGATTCATTTCATTTTACCAAATAGATTCAAGAAATACTTCTGAGTGCCTGTCTGAAACTTGACCTTATAAAATATAATTTCTGTATCCATAAATGGTACTATATAAATGTAAATTGTGTGTGGACAGGTTCGGGCTCTGCCATGTAGCCTCATAGTTAAAAACTTGACAATGCGACACTGATCCACCTCAACCAAGACTAAGAATAATAGCGGAACATGCCCTGCCCTGGCCTCTCACACCTTACCACAAGATCCTTCTGGAAGCAATAGGGGCATAATGCTTAATGATTCATTAATTAATTTGAAAGAAGGGAGGGAGGGATTTAGCAAAGGCAATCACACACTGGTGAATGTTTGCTGACAAATAGTTTAAATGTTTCCTTTGTATCTGCATAAATCAATATTACAACCAACTATACTGTCTTCTCCCTCTACCATTGCTATTTCCAGAAGGGAATAGTGATTTTCACACATAAAGTAACATAGATCTTTCCAGGATTGAAACTTGAAACAAGTCAGTGGAGATGAACAATGTTTTTATAAATTCATTTTTTCATTCAATACACAGAGCAAACAATGTTTTGTTCCAAAATAAAATCCAAAGGAACGCTGGCAATCTATCCATTGCAAAAAATGCTCAGAAGAGATAAGAACTGCACCCTGTTAAGTTTGCTCTCAATATTGTCAGGATGACTTTGATGTTTCGGCTGTGCAACAGCAGACTGTCTGGAGATAACTTACAGGGAACGCAGAGAGCTATAAATCATTCAAAACCTACCACTTACATTGTCGTTAGAGGCTAACCACAGAAACAAGCTAACGGCTATAACTACCTTAATTTCAGTAACAAGTGGCTTCATGTCATTTTGCCCCAAACTATGTGATTTCAGTTTAATGTGGCGACAAATTTTTCCAGTTACTCAATTTTACAGCCTCATTTCACATCTCATCATTAACTTTGTGGAGGGCTTCAGAGATTCGGCTAAGATAACTAGTCATATCTGTTGTGAGTAGTTTCAACTTCACAGTTTAGTATTAATTCTTATGAATCTCTCATTCTTTATATGACTGGTGTCCTGGTAGACAAAAATGGCACCTTGCTGATTGCCCGTACATTAACAGAAAAAAATTAGCACCTTTTTATATGTAAGTAAACATAGTCTTCCCTACCAAGCTGAAAAGGGATAGTCAATACTCAAGGTTGCTAAGTATAATGGCAATGTTGAGGACCCAGGGCACTTGAGGAGTAAAGTGGCAAGTCACAAGTCCATTGTCGGTCTGTGCACTTGGCTTGACGGATCTACTTCAACAGTTCTCACTTGGGGTTTCTTGTGAAGAAAACGGAGTGGAAGAGAACTGCTCTGTTGGGGATGTGAATAAGATCATGGAGGGAGAGAGAGAGGGGGTGGAGGTTGAAGGGAATGAAGATAGAGAAAACATTATTCATATTTTTTTATTTTCCCAGCTGGTGAGGACATTTGGTGGCAAACAACTTCCTCATAGAGAAAACAAATGTTTAAGAATAGAATAAAAAAAGCATCATTTCATTAATTGCTTTGTTTAAGCTCTGTCTGTATTGACTGTAATCCCTGATGCGGTTCACATCTATAATATTTCATTGTTGTTAAAGAACTGTCTATTTATTTTGAAGTGCAGTGGGACATCTCCTGAAAAGCGCTGTATAAATATAAATTTGCATTGTATTCTATTATTTAGCATGCTATTTAGCATGCAATGGTGCCTATTTACCAATGTCAGCAACTTTACCAACCCAAGGAGAATCCAATCTGCTTACTCACCAATGTAGGCAAATTTGCTAGCTAACAATGTCTCTCGTTTCACTGGCACAGCACCTCTTTCAAAACTGCCATCATCGCACCCTCCTCAAGAAGCCCTTTCATGCTCTCCAGCTACTGACCCATCTCCAACCTACCTATCTTTCCTCTCCCTGTGCCAGAATAATGGATCACAACCCAGCTTCACTTCTTTCTCTCCCACCACTCCATCCTCGAGCCCCTCCAGTCCAATTTAAGCCATGCCCATAAGTATCAAGTCTGCCCTAGTGAAAGTCACCAATGACATTCTCTCCATCCTCAACCATTCTACTGCCTTTTCATTCTCTGTTGATTTTGACTTGTTGACTTGTAGAACTGATCATTCTAACTTCTTCAACATCTCTTCTTCCTGCTCCACCTCCATGCTTCTGGGTCTTCCTGGGTTCCTATTATCCCATATTCACTTCATCTTTTGAATGGCTTCTCCTCCTGCCCCAACCCTGTCACTTGCTGCATTCCTCAAGGCATCTGTCCTTGGTCCTCTCCTATTCATCATCTCTCACTTGGTGACCATAGCGATGGAGTCTCTTTCCACTCATTTGGGCTTTCTCTGTCTTGGTAGAAATGTCGCTGGTAGTATTGGTGCTGGCAACCGTCTTGCCTCTTCCCTACCTCTTTTAACCCATCTTCCTCTTACCCGCCCTTATTTTACAGGGCTCGGGCTTCTACTCCTTCTGTACAGGTCTTTGAAAGGCACTGTATAAGTGTAAGTTGTTGTTGTGCTCTATGCTGCCAAACTCAGTGGCAGTGGTTTCAATGGACCTGGATTTAAATTACTGAGCTTGCTGTTATCCAGCATGTTGTGCATGGAATTAGTTTCCATTTTTCCCTTTCTTTATTATTTAAGCAATGGCAAGAAGAGTAATTCAAAAAGAAGGTCCTATTGAAGCTTGGCCTGGACAGACGTGGGAAGGTGCGAGGTAGATAGCAGCCTGGGTTGATTTGTCCATAGGTGAAATACATAGCCCGTTCAGCACCAAAACAGGCCATTCAGACCAACTTGTCCTTGCCATTGTTTGTACTCCGCTGAAACCTCCATCCTCCACATATAAATGTATATGTGGACCATGTGGATTACTGTGACTAAAATTTAAATTAGCAGCCTCAAAATATTGTATGCATTGTTGACCTTTAGAATAAAGTCATTCAAATAAATATTGACTTGAACTCATTTCAGAATTTACAATAAGGTTGAACAGTTGATAAAAGCTTCTCATTCCAGGTTTCACACATGCAGTTGACTGGAAACTGTAGATAATAAAACATCCTGATATGTGCATGTAACTGGCCTGTGAGAAAAGAGTCAACCAGAGTTCCCTGTAATCTCATGGTGTGGCATCACAGTGAAGATATCCACAACAACTAGAGTTGTGTTGTTAGAAAACTCAATGAGAAGGTTACTGGATAGTATCAGGGACTGATTACATTACTGGCTAACTCTTAAAAACCAATTTGCATTAATTTATAGTATTTTCATTTCTCATACAGCCACTATGCCAATTGGAAGAGCATACCAAATCAGAACAATAACAATAATGAAGCAAGTTAAAATCCAAATAAGTATCACTAAAAAAAATCTAAATTATAATAATAATAATCCTTGCATTTGATATAGTGCTTTTCACGTCTTCTAGACATCTCAAAGCGCTTCACCAAATAGACTGTAAAGTGAATTGACTGCATACTTGTGGGCAAAATGCGGCAGGCAATTGCGCAGCAGTCCCACAAACAGTCGTGGATTGAAATGACCAATTTATTATTGCTTTTTTTGAGGGTATTATCAGGTGTGGAGTAAGGAAACTTCCCCGGGAATCGAACCCAGGTCTCTCGCTCTCAAAGCGAATGTTCTAACTACTGAGCTACAGGACTCCACATATTCAAATACACACAAACATACACCAAACATCTTTACGAATGATCGAGCAGAAGACACGCTTAAAACGGGTCCATATTCTCTAAAACAACACTTTAGTTTTCTCCTAAAATAAGGATTAATATGTGTCCCTGAGCAATGATGCAAAGGTTCATTCTTATAGAAGAAATAGAAACTGTACCTTCGACGGAACATTTCTGCAAATATGCATCCAACGCTCCAAAGGTCAACAGGCGTTGCATAGCTAGACTGCAGTAGAACTTCTGGGGCCCGGTACCACAAAGTGACAACCTGCAAATTCAAGGTATCAGGTTAAGAGCACATCAAGGGCTAGAAATTCCGGGAGCAAATCGGTTGAAGAGGAAATGGAAAAGTATAATTTATTTTGTCCCGGTTCGGTAATGCAGGGAAATTCCATAAGGTGCGGCCAGTATTGATAGCACTATCCAACAAATGGAAAGAGTAGCAGCTAATTACAGCCTGACATGCAAGATGGTTAGGGAGCTCAACAAGATGGCCTGTGAAGGGCAGAATGAAAGTGTCTTGGAAAGTCCTTAAATAGTCAGCATGGGAAGGAAAATTTATGGATATGATAAAAAGAAATTCTATTGTTAAAGGTCCTTCTAAGCTTTGTGAATGCTTGCACCAAATCTGCCAGCCATGAAGGAAAGATGGTCTTAACGCAGGTCAAATTTACAGAATAAAGTACTTGGTACACAATTAAGAAGTTACTGGGATTTAATTGAAGTTTTGGCAGTGTTACAAAATATTTTCCAAAAAAGACTCCTGAACTTCTTCCTGTATCAAAAAGGAACACTCTATTTAATTGTACAAATTGCATCATAAATTCCTCTGATAAATTCCAGTTGGAATTTTTACCCCAAAAGAATAGATATATTCATAAGACCACATGTAAACTCAATGTATCTTATTATGTAAGAGGCAATAGCTCCAATGCCTTTGCTGGCAGTTTCAGTGGCATTTAAACTTACGAATCAAACCATCATACCATATATCAATTGATTTGTTCTTATTTATCTTTTTCAAACTTGAATGGGTTTGAGAAATGCGGGGAGTCCCGTACTGAAGGCAATCCATTCATACTGGTAGTGAAGCTTGAATATGCTCATGTCCAGCGAACGCTGAGGCTATGGAAGTCGATGTAAACTGCTTTTGCACAATGAGGATAGGGAAGCTGCCATTTTGCCTTCCAGTTCTTTTTGCAACACTTTACTCTGAACACTAAATTTCCCTCTTAGTGGACAATATCTGGACTGTCAGTGCCTGGAACTGGAGCCCATTAACCTGTACTGGACTGGAAACTTTCCTCTCTAGCTTGTATTCTACAATCAAAAGGGCTTGACTCTGACTGTTTCTTGGCTAAGATATTCTATTGACTGTGCGTATTCTGACAGGCATTAGTTAAGAAAAACAAAAACCTTTTCTTCAGAATATTGTCACGTACAACTGACATAGAGATAATATAATAATAATCCTTGCATTTGATATAGCACTTTTCATATCAGGAGGATGTTTCAAAGCGCTTCACTGGATTTATTGTAAAGTCTGTATTTTGAAGGAGATGGCTTTCAATACAGTTTCCATCCAAATGTGTGTTTGCAAACAAACAGAAAAGGTTTGCCAGGCAGTTTTCTATGAAGCTAGAGCTAATTTGATAGCTACAAAGTAGAATCCAAGTAAAGATGTTCTTTGTCAAATACAATACATTCAAGGCACACATGACGAATCTTAATAAAAATGAAAGAAACAACCATTCTTAGAATCTTAGAAGTGTTACAGAACAGAAACAGGACATTCATCCCACCAAGTCTGTGTTCAGACTGGATTAATGATAAGTGTTGTATCAGGCAACTGTTTCAGCAGAAATATCTATTATTCGCGTTAAGTATTCAGAGCCATGCAGTAATTGTGAGTTTTTGTGATAAGCATGTTTCACAACATAATCAAATCAAAAAAAAGAAACAACGTCGGATTGCAAGATCTACCTGAAACACTAGGCTGTTTGCAGGCAGAGCTATTTTCAAATGTAACACATCTGGATTGAAGAAAGCACTGTTCAAGGAAGTGTTCCTGGCAACTTACCACTAGAATAAGCATCTCTCGGCGAAACAAGCATCTCCAGCAGGGAATATTGTGTACGTCCCGCTGACTCGCAAGGCTTCGGCTTCGGCTCCACCTCTGGGTCTTGTGAGTCAGCATGACGTACCTGGGTTTCCGTGCTGGAGATCCAGTTTACTCCATGAAGCCCTTATTCTAGTGCCAGTAACTCTATTGCTTTCAGTGAAGGACATTTTTTCAAACCCCATTAACCCACATCATAGAACATTCTGAAGAGGATGTAAACACACGATGCTGGTTAATTCAGTTTTTGTCAGTTTCAAATTATGCAATAAATATATCTCATCCTTCTAAAGTTTTAATGAAATAAAAGGATTTCACAGGTTGTCTAAACTGATAAGCATCAATTGAAGCTGTAATACACTGCAAAAACATTTTACACTCTTAGCATGCTGGATAACTGGAACTGTAAAGGAAGCTCTGTTAATTGAGGAAGCCACGGTTATTATTGGCTTACCATTTTCTCAGTGCTGTTGCGGTTAGTGTATGGAAGAATTTCTATGAATTGAAAAAGACGCCTCCATTTGGAGTCTGAGCCTCCTCACACGCAGTTAGAAATCTAACCCAGTTTTAATGCAGCAGATACTGTATTTTATTGCAGATTTGCTGTATTAACCATTCAAAGACTGAATGCCCTTTTCAACTTTGAAAAGCCATTTGAGTTTTCTGCAAGAAAGAAATTAAGGAAGAAACAATTTGTCGCAGCTCAAGAGGGATACGTTTTAAGAATTAAAATTGCCAGAAATTACTGGAATAAAATCTATGGTAGTTGTAATCCAATTATTAATTTAATTAGCACAATGAATTGGTTAATGCATACCCAAAATTATACCACATACAACAATATTGGTTATTTGCTAGCTGCTGAAATACACAAGTTAACATCAACTCAGAAAGCCTGTGGAGAACTGTGACAAGGATAAGCTCTAATTCCCTGATTGAATAGGGTCAAACATTCTGAAACTTTGCTCCTGTTTCCTCTCCGTTGCAATGGTCACTGCTGAATATTATGACAAAGAATTAGAGAAACTTGACTAACTTTAGGGTAGTCTTTAGGGTAGAAATATAGAAATGCAAGCTGTCATCGTTGAAGTTGTTTTCTGAAGCAACTTGAAACTCTGCAAATGATTTAGCTGCTGAATCGTGACAGCAGAGTTCTTACTCTTCTCACAGCCTCGGATTGTTTTCAGTCACAAGCAATCGTTTGACCATATAACCATTTCCCAATTGCTATGCTGCAAGTGTTAGTGATGTAACATAAGTAACATGTGCTGCGTTCTTCAATACAAACTGCTCTTTAAAAGATGAACCTTACTTGGGATGGGGAAAGACCTGGAATAGCTACAAAGCAATTTCTTCAGAATTAGATTTAATGATGAAATAATGTGTTCATACACATTGTGAGTTTGATAACAATAACAACTTGCACTTATATAGCGCCCTCCACGCAGGGTAGTGTCTCAGAGTGCTTGATGCATGAACAATGATTGCTAATGGACTTTTTCATGAAAGCTGTGCTCTGGTAATATTCCTATAGCTGGCAAAGTTTAACAGCTCGCACCTGCGATTATGAAACCATTTTGCTTCCCACCTCATCTCATAACTCCACACTTGAGATTGATTCTCATGTTGCTGACAGCCTTCCAGCATCTTGTTTAAGTGGTCCAATTGTAGTGCCTCAACCACTGCACTGGCTGAGACCAGCTAACCCAGCGCAGAATGGGATCTCAACCCAAACAAACCTGCTCTGTATTGCCTGGCACTGAAACCGATGCAGTTGAACGCAGGATGAAAAAAGGAAAAGCAGTGAAATGCAAGCCTAACTTTAGACTGACCTCAATCCTTCAAGTTGTAAACAAGCGAATGGAGTGGGCCAGTGAAAAGAGACACCTGGCTAGCACACTGATTCTGATCTCGACAGCAGAACATGCGAATACAAGGTGACTTCAGTATTATAGTAGGGACTGGCGATGAGTGAAAAATGAAAATACTTTACGGTAAACATAATGTGCAAAAGCAAAATCATTCTAGAAGATTAGTATATTAAATGAAATGCTGTTGTGTAAACTTTATAGCTGCACTTCTGCCAGAAAGATAAGCTACATGTACTTGCATTAATGATGCAATCTTTCCTTTAGCCAGCCGTGGTCCTTTGCTCGGTATCTCCTGCTATCTTCATTTCTAGGTAGAACCACAGCTTCTAACTAAGTCATATGTGCTGTGTTTCTAGGTACATCCGTTACTTAGATATAAATACCACTGGGAGCTACCACAGACACAGAAGCAGAGGTGTGCTTGTTTCATATAACCTGTGATTCAAAGTTGCGTCACTTCACAGTTTGGAAAGTAAAAGCAAAGGAAGTGACTGACTATGTTTGATTATAATCTGCAATTGCTCCCTCCACATCACTAGTAATGCTTTCAGCAACAGGTTTAACACACAGCAACAAGAAATTGGCTTTTGTCATTCATAGGATGAGTCTTAGAGGGAAGCATCTCTACGTATATAGTTGGACCTGTTATACCGTACTGCAGCATATACAAATTATATACTGGTTTATAGCGCGGCTACATTGTGGATCTGTAGTATGTCGGTGTTCCTCTTCACTTCCAGCTTCTGACACAGATGCACGAAGAAAACATAGGGAGCAGACAAACAAGACAAATACTAAAAACATTCACAAAAAGCAGTTTTTGCACCCATGTGCCCAGCGGGGTTTGGTTACATCATTGGCAATGTTATCTGTTACCTGTCAGCCCAAAGTGCTGACTGCCAGCCATTTTTATAGTTATTAACAATGGGACTAAATTTATAGACCCAAAGCACTGCCTTCCAACGGACTGTTCTAAGATGTGGAAGCATTAGAGAAGTTTGTTTTTCCAAAGAATAGTAAGTTATTGTGAAAATATATTGTTCGTCAGAGAATAATGCACGGCACTGATATTGTTTCAGGTCATATCAATGGCAATTTGCATTTCCAACTTGTATTAGGGGCTGTGTTGGCTCCAAGGTGACTTGCCTGGCGATGGAACATCAAAAATTAGTCAATTGTCTGTGGCAGTAGACTGGGTAGTCCAGATCTTGCCACTCTTATGTCTAAACTGTGTGGAATTAAGGAAACAGGGTGTTCTCTCAGGGATGAGAGTGTGCA